GTTGAATGTTCAATTTATATTTTTGTTCAGTATAGTATTGCAATAGTAAATTCCCTCAAGTATAAGCTCCTATATTTTTATCAGATGTCAACAAAGCAGTTGAGCTAAGACACATGCATTCAGCTGTGTAAGAAAGTGGTGGCTGGTGGGCGGGGAAATCAGAGGACTGGCTCATCGTAATGGCTGGAATAGATTAAATGGAATGGAATCAAACACATGGAAACCATGTGAATAATGGAAACCATGTGTTTGATACCTTACCGTGTATCTCATTCCAGCCGTTCCAATGAGCCTGTCTTCCTATATCGCTGGACACCAGCCTCCTCTGATATAGGAGGGCAACGTTTACAACGTCTCACAGTAATTGACCCCATAAAGCACCTCATTCCCGTCACTGCAGTCTACACTTGATTTATAGTGTATACACTTATATACGACACACTTACACTATGGTGAATTCTTTGGTTTACCTTGAGTAACTGTAGGACACTTAATGTAATGTGAACAGATCCAGTGAGGGAAAAAAGTATTTGATCCCCTGCTGATTTTGTACATTTGCCCACTGACAATGACATGATCAGTATATAATTTTAATGGTAGGTTTATTTGAACAGTGAGACACAGAATAACAACAACAAAATCCAGAAAAACGCATGTCAAAAATGTTATAAATTGATTTATAATAATAACAATATGCCATTTAGCAGACGCTTTTATCCAAAGCGACTTACAGTCATGCGTGCATACATTTTTTTGTATATGGGTGGTCCCGGGGATCGAACCCACTACCCTGGCATTACAAGCGCCGTGCTCTACCAGCTGAGCTACAGAGGACCCCATTTTAATGAGGGAAATAAGTATTTGACCCCTCTGCAAAACATGACTTAGTACTTGGTGGCAAAACCCTTGTTGGCAATCACAGAGGTCAGATGTTTCTTGTTGTTGGCCACCAGGTTTGCACACATCTCAGGAGGGATTTTGTTCCACTCCTCTTTGCAGATCTTCTCCAAGTCATTAAGGTTTCGAGGCTGACGTTTGACAACTCGAACCTTCAGCTCCCTCCACATATTTTCTATGGGATTAAGGTCTGGAGACTGGCTAGGCCACTCCAGGACCTTAATGTGCTTCTTCTTGAGCCACTCCTTTGTTGCCTTGGCAGTGTGTTTTGGGTCATTGTCATGCTGAAATACCAATTTTCAATGCCCTGGCTGAGGGAAGGAGGTTCTCACCCAAGATTTGACGGTACATGGCCCCGTCCATCGTCCCTTTGATGCGGTGAAGTTGTCCTGTCCCCTTAGCAGAAAAACACCCCCAAAGCATAATGTTTCCACCTCCATGTTTGACAGTGGGGATGGTGTTCTTGGGGTCATAGGCAGCATTCCTCCTCCTCCAAACACGGCGAGTTGAGTTGATGCCAAAGAGCTTGATTTTGGTCTCATCTGACCACAACACTTTCACCCAGTTCTCCTCTGAATCATTCATATGTTAATTGGCAAATTTCAGACGGGCCTATATATGTGCTTTCTTGAGCAGGGGGACCTTGCGGGTGCTGCAGGATTTCAGTCCTTCAAGGCGTAGTGCGTTACCAATTGTTTTCTTGGTGACTATGGTCCCAGCTGCCTTGAGCTCATTGACAAACCCTCCTGTGTAGTTCTGGGCTGATTCCTCACCGTTCTCATGATCATTGCAACTCCACGAGGTGAGATCTTGCATGGAGCCCCAGGCTGAGGGAGATTGACAGTTCTTTTGTGTTTCTTCCATTTGTGAATAATCACACCAACTGTTGTCACCTTCTCACCAAGCTGCTTGGCGATGGTCTTGTAGCCCATTCCAGCCTTGTGTAGGTCTACAATCTTGTCCCTGACATCCCTGGAGAGCTCTTTGGTCTTGGCCATGGTGGAGAGTTTGGAATCTGATTGATTGATTGGTTCTGTGGACAGGTGTCTTTTATACAGGTAACAAGCTGAGATTAGGAGCACTCCCTTTAAGAGTGTGCTCCTAATCTCAGCTCGTTACCTGTATAAAAGACACCTGGGAGCCAGAAATCTTTCTGATTGAGAGGGGGTCAAATACTTATTTCCCTCATTAAAATGCAAATCAATTTATAACATTTTTGACATGCGTTCTTCTGGATTTTTTTGTTGTTATTCTGTCTCTCACTGTTCAAATAAACCTACCATTAAAATTATAGACTGATCATTTCTTTGTCAGTGGGCAAACGTACAAAATCAGCAGGGGATCAAATACTTTTTTCCCTCACTGTATTTCCCATGTGTTTTCCACACAATCCTCCCAGCTGCCCTTAGCTCTGTAGCTGCTCTAGCTTTATGACTTCATATCTTTGACAAACGTCATCTGTCGGGCAAATGAATGAGCGTGATAAGCATGTCCCATCGGCATGATTTGAATCCCGAGTAGCATGACAGCTCCATTCATTATGAGTGGGAGTTGCTAACATTGCTAAGGCCACTAACACTAGAGAATTATAACTTTGCTAAGAGTGCCCCTTAGCCTCCCTGAGTGAGATAGATAGGGAGAGGCGATAGTGTACTACCCAAATCAAATGTTATTTGTCACATGCTTTGTAAACAACAGTTGTAGACTAACAGTGAATTGCTTAGTTACGGGCCCTTCCCAACAATGCAGAGACAACTGTCTCAACGTCAACAGTGAAGATGCTGACCTTCTAGGCAGAGTTGCAAAGAAAAAGCCATATCTCAGACTGCCCATCTTAATCTCTTCTTTTTATTGGCTAGTCTGAGATATGGCTTTTTCTTTGCAACTCTGCCAAGAAGGTCAGCATCCCGGAGTCGCCTCTTCACTGTTGACGTTGAGACAGTTGTCTCTGCATTGTTGGGACACTTGTCAGCTGATCAGCTCATGCTCTGAGTACCAGTCCTGGTAATCCAAATGGCACCGCGGCCTTTGAATGTTAACATGTTTAAAGGTCTTACTCACATCAGCCATGGAGAGCGAGATCACACAGTTGTCCGGAACAGCTAGTTCAGTGTTGCTTGCCTCAAAGCGAGCATAGAAGGCATTTAGCTCGTCTGGTAGGCTCGAGTCACTGGGCAGCTCGCGAGCCTTTATGGAGATATAGGGATATCAACAACTGGGAAATGAAGGAGACCAGTGCTCAGTCTGGCTAGGCCACTCCAGGACCTTGAGATGCTTCTAACGGAGCCACTCCTTAGTTGCCCTTGCTGTGTGTTTCGGGTCGTTGTCATGCTGGAAGACCCAGCCTCGACCCATCTTCAATGCTCTTACTGAGGGAAGGAGGTTGTTGGCCAAGATCTCGAGATACATGGCCCCATCCATCCTCCCCTCAATACGGTGCAGTCATCCTGTCCCCTTTGCAGAAAAGCATCCCCAAAGAATGATGTTTCCACCTCCATGCTTCACGGTTGGGATGGTGTTCTTGGGGTTGTACTCATCCTTCTTCTTCCTCCAAACACGGCGAGTGGAGTTTAGACCAAAAAGCTCTATTTCTGTCTCATCAGACCACATGACCTTCTCCCATTACTCTTCTGGATCATCCAGATGGTCATTGGCAAACGTCAGACAGGCCTGGACATGCGCTGGCTTGAGCAGGGGGACCTTGCGTGCGCTGCAGGATTTTAATCCAGTGTGTTACTAATGGTTTTCTTTGAGACTGTGGTCCCAGCTCTCTTCAGGTCATTGACCAGGTCCTGCCATGTAGTTCTGGGCTGATCCCTCACCTTCCTCATGATAATTGATGCCCCACGAGGTGAGATCTTGCATGGAGCCCCAGACCGAGGGTGATTGACCGTCATCTTGAACTTCTTCCATTTTCTAATAATTGCGCCAAGAGTTGTTGCCTTCTCACCAAGCTGCTTGCCTATTGTCCTGTAGCCCATCCCAGCCTTGTGCAGGTCTACAATTTTATCCCTGATGTCCTTTCACAGCTCTCTGGTCTTGGCCATTGTGGAGAGGTTGGAGTCTGTTTGATTGAGTGTGTAGACAGTTGTCTTTTATACAGGTAACGAGTTCAAACAGGTGCAGTTAATACAGGTAATGAGTGGAGAACAGGAGGGCTTCTTAAAGAAAAACTAACAGGTCTGTGAGAAACTGAATTCTTACTGGTTGGTAGGTGATCAAATACTTATGTCATGCAATAAAATGCAAATTAATTACTTAAAAATCATACAATGTGATCTTCTGGATTTTTGTTTTAGATTCCGTCTCTCACAGTTGAGGTGTACCTATGATAAAAATTACAGACCTCTACATGCTTTGTAAGTAGGAAAACCTGCAAAATCGGCAATGTATCAAATACTTGTTCTCCCCACTGTATATATATATAGAGAGAGACCTGAGGCATACAAGGTATTAGCATAGCCTATGTTTATGTTATGTTGTCATAACATGCTGTGGCTGTGGTTTTTGAGTGTCTTATTGCCTATTGGTCCACATATTTCATTATAGTTATTGTGTTCCCCATACTCTATATAATATATATGTTTATAAATATGTGTTGTGTATTTGATATATTGATGCAGGGCTCATCCGTAAAAGTATTGATGCAGGAATCACCCCCTGCTAAAATAAAGGTTAAATAAAATTAGTAATAGTAAACTTGAGTTCCAACTGTTTAAAAAAAAATCCTCAATAGTAGTAGAGACTCTGACTCAGATGACCTTCGGTAGCCAACTCCAAATAGACCACATTCAAGTCCTCCATCCCCCATTCATTCAAACGTAGGAACTGGTTCCTCCAGTCTGACCCCTGCTGCTGTCTCTGGCTCCACACCCCCGCCCGGCCATCTAGAGGTGTGAAGAGGCCAGCCCAGAAGCGGAGGAGGGCCAGTGCACCAGTGGCAACTACCATCGAGGGAGAGGAACGTTGGCACACTGTGCTAGAGGATGATGTGGAGCCACTTCCACCAACATTTCTATCTAAAAAGCAGCCAGGACCTCAGCTGGACATGACTTGAAAGTACAGCCCCCTTCATCTTTTCCAGATGTTTTTCTCCTTGTCAGTTCTTGGTTCGCTGGTGTCTAACACCAACAAGTATGGGGCTAAGAAGCAAGCAGGCAAGAAAGAGGCATGGAAGACCATTTCCATCCAAGACCTATACTGCCTTTCCCCACCACTGTCATGTCTTCTAACAGGTTTCGGACTATCTCACGGGCGCTTCATATCAGTGACCCACAAGCTGACGACGACAATGAGAAGAAGAGAGGCACATCAAGCTTTGATATGCTCTGCAAAATCAAACCTCTCTACTCCAGCATTGTTGAGGCCTGCAAGACCCATTTTTAGCCTGCCCAGAACCTGTCCATAGATGAGAGGATGGTAGCCTCAAAGGCTAAACAAAATATGCGTAACAAGCCAACAAAATGGGGCTACAAACTGTTTGTTTTGGCCGATTCTGTGTGTGCCTACACTTGGAACTTTTTTTGTTTACGAGGGGAAATCCATCTCAGCCACCGGTAATGGAGTTAGTTTTGATTCTGTTATGGAATTATTGGATTTTCCACAGCTGGGGATGGGACAACTTTGTGGACAACTTTTACACAAGCCCTACCCTGTTTACAGACCTGAAGAATCTGAATGTATGGTCTTGTGGCACCATTCGTCCCATCAGAGTGGGTTTTCCCAAAAGAAAAGTAAACGACATGCCTAAGACGGCTGATAGGGCTACCATGCGATGGATTCATAAAGATGACCTGCTCTTTGTAAAATGGATGGATACCAGAAAGGTGGTTATGTGCTCCAGTATCCACAAATCGTACAGTGGCGATCACGTCAGCAGGCGTGTGTAGGACGCTAATGGGGCATGGACCAAGAAAATTGGCCCCATTCCAGCTGCTGCAAAGGATTACAACAAGAGCATGGGGGTGTGGACCTGTCAGACACGCTGATAGGCTAATACAATGTTCTCCACAAGACAATGAAATGGTACAAGACATTTGTTCTATCACTTCGTCAACATTGCTGTGGTGAATACAATCATCCTCCAGAAGGAAATGGCTAAGAGCTGTGGACAGACCCCCATGACACAGCTAGCCTTCAGAGAGCTGCTCATCCAGGAGCTTGCTGACTACGGCACAAAGTCCACTGCAGCACCTTCTGTCCCCTCCACCTCTACTCCTGCCATCAGTGGTGTTCACCTTCCAAAGTACATAACTGCAGACCTGAACGTGCCTCAGGGCCAAAAGAGCACAGCAGGGAGGCGTTGTTGTACTCTGTGGCACAAGATATCTCCCATCACCTGCACTACTTGTGCTGTTACCCTCTGCTTCACAGCAGAAAGAGACTACTATGGGACTTGGCATCAGCAGCACAATCTTGTGTAGAGGACTGTGGATGTTCTAAATACTCTAATTGTAAATAGTGTGTAAAAAAATAAATATAACTTTGTGTGTGGTTTGTGTTGTGTGCACTTATGACATTAGATCGGTGTTGGCTGCTAACTTGGCCCTTATCTTAAATAGTTAATTTCTGTGTTGGGAGGCATTGGATCAGCGTTCTCGTTGCGTCTCCTGTTAGTACCTTTTATGTAGGGAAGCTAATGATCCATCATGTATGACATTCCTGGGAGTGTGTAAACTTGAATTTCTTATTACCATAGCATTTTTGTATATTCTCTATAATTTTGTACTTGAAAATGTATCAATTTACTAATTCAGCCACTTGGGTACATTTGGATAAACTCGTGAGGGACACCTGGGAGACTTCATACTAAATATTATGTCCTTCAGTAACTGTCCCTACAGTGACTGCTGTGAAAATAGCTATTGCATTAACCCTGTCTCCTGCTCCTGATCACCTATTGCTTTTGTGGTTCACTGATAGATCTAGGACTGAACCTTTCAGATACTCCCTACATGTCACCCAACTCCTACCCGACTTTCTAGCCACCAACATCTCCAATGACATCCTATGTTCTGCTACAGTCGGTATCTATGGATAATACTTCCCTGTGCTCAGGTTAGATACACATCTCTCATCCCAAGCCCGATCTACACTATCTCTGCTACTCCCACCATGATCTGGGTAAAGTGCCTTGCAAAAGTATTCATCCCCCTTTGCATTTTTTTCTATTTTGTTGCATTAAAACCTGTCATTTAAATCCATTTTATTTGGATTTCATGTAATGGACATAAACAAAATAGTCCAAATTGGTGAAGTGAAATGAAAAAAAAAAATAGTTTCCAAAAAATTCTAAAAAATAAATAACGGAAAAGTGGTGCGTGCATATGTATTCACCCCCTTTGCTATGAAGCCCCTAAATAAGATCTGGTGCAACCAATTACATTCAGAAGTCACATAATTAGTTAAATAAAGTCCACCTTTGTGCAATCTAAGTGTCACATGATCTGTCATATGATCTCAGTATATATACACCTGTTCTGAAAAGCCCCAGAGTCTGCAACACCACTAAGCAAGGGGCACCACCAAGCAAGCGGCACCATGAAGACCAAGTAGCTCTCCAAACAGGTCAGGGACAAAGTTGTGGAGAAGTACAGATCAGTGTTGGGTTATAAAAAAATATCCGAACCTTTGAACATCCCACAGAGCACCATTAAATCCATTATTAAAAAATGGAAAGAATATGGCACCACAACAAACGTGCCAAGAGAGGGACGTCCATCAGAGAGGCAACAAAGAGACCAATGATAACCCTGAAGGAGCTGCAAAGCTCCACAGCGGAGATTGGAGTATCTGTCCATAGGACCACTTTAAGCCGTAAACTCCACAGAGCTGGGCTTTACTGAAGAGTGGCCAGAAAAAAGCCATTGCTTAAAGAAAATAAGCTAACACGTTTGGTGTTCGCGAAAAGCCATGTGGGAGACTCCCCAAACATATGGAAGAAGGTATTCAGGTCAGATGAGACAAAAATGGAGCAATGAAAACACTATGTCTGGTGCAAACCCAACACCTCTCATCACCCCGAGATCACCATCCCCACAGTGAAGCATGGTGGTGGCAGCATCATGCTGTGGGGATGTTTTTCATCGGCAGGGACTGGGAAACTAGTCAGAATTGAAGGAATGATGGATGACACTAAATACAGGGAAATTCTTGAGAGAAACCTGTTTCAGTTTTCCAGAGATTTGAGACTGGGACGGAGATTCACCTTCCAGCAGGACAATGACCATAAGCATACTGCTAAAGGAACACTTGAGTGGTTTAAGGGGAAACATTTAAATGCCTTGGAATGGCCTATTAAAAGCCCAGACCTCAAACCAATTTAGAATCTGTGGTATGACTTAAAGATTGCTGTACACCAGCGGAACCCATCCAACTTGAAGGAGCTGGAGCAGTTTTGCCTTGAAGAATGGGCAAAAATCTCAGTGGCTAGATGTGCCAAGCTTATAGAGACATACCCCCAAGAGACTTGCAGCTGTAATTGCTGGGAATGGTGGCTCTACAAAGTATTTTTTTGTCTTATTTCTTGTTTGTTTCACCCCAAAAAAGATTTTGCATCTTCAAAGTGGTAGGCATGTTGTGTAAATCAAATGATACAAACCCCCCCAAAAATCCATTTTAATTCCAGGTTGTAAGGCAACAAAATAGGAAAAATGCCAATGAGGGTGTATACCTTCGCAAGCCACTGTATGTGTGACGTTCAACTTGACTTCATAGTATTTTTTTTTGTCTCTATATTGTGCACAGTTAGCTGTCCTTCCTCTACTACTATACACAGAGGAGTGATATCGTTCCCCAGAGACTCTATCACCCACTTCCTTAATCTATGAGCCTCACAAATCTCAGTCCCAGTCATATTCAATTCCACTTTCCCTATTCCATGTAACGTTAACGCCTTGTTTTTTTTACTCCATCGAATGCACTGATGTCGGTTCTGCCAGAATCTGTACCTAACACCCTTTTGCAAATATTCTGTCTCAAACACAGGCCCTGTATGTACCTTGCCTCCGGCTACAAACACATTTGCACATAAATCATTCCATCTAACCCATAACACGTTAGTCACTACTGCTAGGCCACTTATATAGTTATAAACATCCTAAAACATGCTCAAGTCAATTAGTCAGTTACCAACAATTCCTCCTCTAGAACAATGATCACTCACATGTTCCACGCCACCTAGAAAACATATGTGACTCTTTTCAGGAAACTAGGCGTATGTCGCGGGTCACTACATCACAGGGGAGCCATTTGAACGTAAACTTTTTTTTTATCAAAATGCGTTTTTTGGCAGAAATGCCTTCTGGAAATTGTGAACTTTCATGTGCCTTAATAACAAACTTGTATGCCATCTGTAAATACGAATAAAATTGTTTAATTACGAGCCTAGTTGATTTAGCCACAGAAAAAGACAGCAACCTTCCCGCTAGCCATGATTGGCTGAGGTAATGGATGGGCTGGACATGCCGAGAGATGAGTTGGGATTGGTCTGACATATAGCACGCTTCTGTCTATTTGAGCTGGTCAGTATGTGTACATAATCCTGTCTAACGCATCATTTAAAAAAAATTTATCACGTAGTAAAACTGCATAAGTGTTGCTCTCCACTTTCTGGAGGACCGAGTTATGAAATCAGTGGAATTAGAGAATGATAGCTAAGGAGATGGAGAAAACACCTGTCTCCGGATTACATCTTCTAACTAACCATGATATCCGTGACAGGGAGACGCGTCCCATGATGTATACGGGTAAGATAGTCTAGCTAGCTACATTTTCAGATATTACACGTTTCTACTTTTGACAGAAAGTTGTTTTCATTTCAAGTTAAAGTGTACTGTTAGCTAGCTAATGTTAGCTGGTTGGCTCGCTAGCTAACGTTACGTGTATGATCTTATTATTAGTATCTCAGAGCCATTTGCTTTGCTAGTAATAGCCTAATGTTAGCTAGCTAACATTGAACCTGGTTGGTTAGCTACCTGCAGATTCATGCAGGGTAGTAACGTCATGAGTTGGGATTATGGTTCATTGTTTACCTAGCTAGCTACATGTCTTAACAAAAGACTCCACTATGCAAGTAACCATTTCGGGTGCATTCGTAAATTCAGTCTGGCCATCTACACCGATTTCAGAGCACTGTCGTCTCAGTGTGCCAGAGCGCAGAATAACTGATGAATGTACGAACGCTCAACAACCGTTGAATATGGCTGGTGTCAGTAAACGTTTGCAAAAAAACGTAATTTAATTGTTGCCAGCAGCACAGTTACAGTCACCAACACTCTGGATAACAGGATAACAGCCTAACGAGCTCTGCTAGGGTGAGTACAATGATCAGAGTGGTGTGTTCTCTCATTTGTGTCTGAAAGTAGCAAGCAAGCTAGCCAACGTTAGCCAGTTAGCTTGGGTGCTTGACTGCCGTTGTGAGGTCAGAACACTCGGATCAACCCTACACATAGGCCAGAGTGTTCAGTGTGCACTGTGAATGCTCCGAGAGCAAAACGCTCTGAATTTACGAACTGACAATCTGACAACGCTCTGAATTTACGAATGCCTAGAGCACACTCTGGCACTCCAGATTGAATTTACGAACACACCCTTCAATAGAATGTCACTTCAACAACTGTTGATAAACGTAGCTGGTAAATTCGCTCTGGCTATCTACTCCGATTTCAGAGCACTGTCGTCTGAGTGTGCCAGAGCGCAGAATAACTGATGAATTTGTGTAAATTGTAGCTAGCAGCACAGTTGCAGTTACCAACGCTCTGGATAACATGAAAACAGCCTAACCAGGTCTGCTAGGGCGAGTAATGGTCAGTGAGCTGTTCTCTCATTTGTGTCTGGAAGTAGCTAGCAAGTTAGCCAGTTAGCTTGGGTGCTTAACTGCTGTTAGTACATTACACTCGGATCAACCCTTAAAGAGATGGGTGGGGCTAAAGCTTAAGAGGGTGTGAATGATGCCGAATGGGTGTAGACAAGGAAGAGCTCTCCAGTAGGTGACAAAACATTCAAAGGCCATTTTCTCAAAAGTGAGGTTACAATTTTATCAACTTTTAAAGCAGAATTATTTTCCCATTGGTCCTCAAATGTATGTCCTGAATGTGACTAGTTTATTTTTGGATGCATTGTTCAGACATTCACAGAAGTAGCGACAGCATACACAATCATCCAATCCGGAAAATGTAGGCTACATTAGTCCTAGCGCTAACTGAGGAAAGATGGACATAACACAAGCGGTCATATTTATAGAACTCTCAGCTGACAGAAACCACAATATGAATTAGCTAATAGCAATTACTATTTATAATTCAGCACATCACGGGTGAGCTCAACATTGCTCGAAATGACTGAGTAAAACACTTTCTAGAAATCGAAAGTAATCCGACGATGGGTAGTTTGTGCGCACGCCATGTTTGTTTTTTCACGT